GCTCCACACCTTGTTATCTCTCTTTAACATACTGTGATTTCTTTTTTCTCTAATTGATATACAACCTCTGCTAAACCCTTAAACAATATAATACAAGGGATATAGTAATGAAAACAGTTCAAAACTGTCTGAAATATAACATTCCAACTTCCCCATTGGCTTCCCTGGAATTTCTCTACTACACAAGAGGCTCTTTCTGTTACCAACCTATACAAGTCTGATTTACACACTGTAGATTTCCCTGGGATCTTCCACTTGGTCACTGTAAGCAGAAACTCCACTTATGCATTACACAGGTAAATTTTCTTTCAGTCGATCCTCTAAAGATACAGCAGCTTGCACAATGAAATTCACTCCCATAATCTAAAAGTAACTGAATTCCCTTCCTCAATCTTCCCTGACAATTGAAGTGCAGCACCATGATTGTGGCTTACCTGGTATTATGGTTAAAACCTTACAAACGACTATACATACTACCTTCTTCCCATTTTAAGGTTTGAGCCAATTCTTGTGTCAACGTTTCCATTATAAATTCCTGAATGTATATTTCCACTTGAAACTGTCAGTTTAAAGTGATCATTCTGCAATTACTCTTCTCACCACTGGTAGTGAAATCAATGTCTCAGTCCCTCAGCCTCAAAAGAAACTCCCAGGCTCCAACCCAACTCCAAAGTTGGGATCTTCTGTACATCCAAGGAGTAGGGGATCAATGGTGGTTGATGGGAGGGGGAGTGTGCTTTTACGTGTGTCGCCCGTGAAATGTCAATTTTCAGAGTTGCAGCGTGAATGTTACGAAGCAATGGATGAAAATGGTCTTCCTTGGTGGTTTAGTGGTTGGCCAGAGTTCGAGTCCTAGTCGGGGAGGGGGGTTTTGGGCAGCATGGTGGCTCAGTGGTTAGCACTGCTGCCTCACAGTGCCAGGGGCCCGGGTTCGATTCCACCCTCGGGTGACTGTCTGTGTGGAGTTTTCACATTCTCCCCGTGTCTGCGTGGGTTTCCTCCGGGTGCTCCGGTTTCCTCCCACAGTTCAAAGATATGCCAGTTAGGTGGATTGGCCAAGCTTACTTGTCCAGAGATATGCAGGCAAGTTGGGTTAGCCATGGGGAATGCAGGGTTACAGGGTAGGGGGGGTAAGTCTAAGTGAGATGCTCTTCAGAGCACCAGGGAAAGTGCAGTGGCCTAGTGTGGCACTGTCCAGAGAGGTCAGGGTATGGCTCAGCGAAGGAGGGAGGTCAGGCCAGAATGACCCTCATGAGGGTTGTAAGAGCCAGACAGCAGGTGCTGGACAAACAGAAGTTCAGTCAGCATTGGCGTATGATCGAGGAGAGATCAAGGACTCAATGGTGAAGCTGGGGGCAAGAGTTGAGAGTAACTGAAGGTGATAGAGGGAGATTGAGGACAATGGTTGGCAGGTCAGTGATAACGGAGGCAGCTCCAGGTAGAAAGGTTAATCAAGGGGGATGGTAGGTGGCTTGGGAATTGCAGAAGACAGAGTTAAGATGACGGATGAAGGGCTGAGGGTGATGGGAGAAAAGGAGCTAACAGCAGTTCAACTTCAAACTCTTCTTCTCTGATGGGCAGAATGGTACCACTAGCTTACAGGTTGTGACTAGCTGCACGTTAAATATGGCGCCCAGATTTTTAACCATCAGGTGAATGAAGCCTTCCTGCCCCTCCTTCTGCCCTTCGGCTTTGGGTAACTTTGGCTATCGCCTCTCTGCTCCTATGATGCTGCTTGGCCTGCTGTGTTCATCCAGCCCTGCACCTTGTTGTCTCGGATTCTCCAGCATCTGCAGTTCCTACTATCTCTATCTCCCATGTAGTTGTGCGTGGCAATCCCCCTGCTCAGCAGGCATCACACTCAGTGCCAGTTCCTGCCACCAGGACATTTGCTGCTACAGTAAGATTCAACTGGACTTCCTTCATTCCTTAATTCTGAACAGCAACCTAACAATAAACTATTGAAAAAAAAAGACAAAATGTCATCACTTGAAAAGGTGAGCCAAATTACATTTATGTGCCCCTTTATCACCACTCCATTCCCACTTGCCCCATTTCATCTGAAGGGTACATTTCAACTGAACTCTCAGTCTTAAGAGATTAAGGGGCGTGCATAGAGGAAAGTGGAGTAGCTGGTAGACAGGGCGATGAAGGAGGTGTTTGATACATTTGTCAGTACATTTAGTGTAGGAGTTGGGATGTTGTGTTGTTGCTGTACACAACATTGGTCAGACCATTTTTGGAATACTGCATACAATTCTGGTCGCCCTTCTTTAGGAAAGATGTTGTTAAACTTGAGAGTGTACAGAAAAGATTTACAAGGATGTTGCCAGGGTTGGAGGGTTTGTGCTATAGGGAGAGGCTGAATAAGCTGGGGCTATTTTCCCTAGAGCATCGGAGGCCTTACAGAGTTTATGAAATCGTGAGGGGCATGGATAGGGTGAATAGTCAAGGTCTTTTTCCCAGGGTGGGGAGAGTCCAAAACTAGAAGCCACAGGTTTAAAGTGAGAGGTGAAAAATATAAAAAGGACCTGAGGGGCAACTTTTTCACGCAGAAGGTGGTGCATATATGGAACGAGCTGCCAGAGGAAGTGGTGGAGGCTGATACAATTACAACATTTAAAAGGCATCTGGATGGGTACATGAATAGGAAGGGTTTAGAGGGACATGGGCCAAATGCTGGCAAATGGGACTAGGTCAGATTGGATTGTCTGGTCAGCACGGATGAGTTGGACCGAAGGGTCAGTTTCTGTGCTGTATGACTCCATATAGTAAAAGCTTTGTAACTTACTCCCTGTAAATGTCAGAGCTACTTCCAGAAATACTCTCTCCATCCAACATTATTGCCAATGGTAACATGCAAAGATATCCTCCAAGTCTGTGTATAATACAACAGGGTTTTATATTTAGTCAGTAGAATGTGGAATACAAAGTCACCTAACTCAAATTTGTATGGTGCCATAAAAAGAATTGTTTTATAGTTCTACTGCTTATTTTGCATGTATTATTCTTTAACACAAAACAAACTTAAATTAACAGGATAAATTTGAAGAGGTTGTAGCAAAAGGGAAGGGATTAAGCATTTGGAGAAATTGCTAGAAAAGCTCAGAGGATGAAGGGTCACTTGACCTGAAACATTAACTCTGATTTCTCTCTCCACAGATGCTGCCAGACCTGCAGAGTTTTTCCAGCAATTTCTGTTTTACAGCATTCGCAATTCTTTTGATTTTTATTGAGCATTTGGATCAGTCTGATGGAGCCATTGCACTGCCAATTATTGCAGTTGCTCACAATATTAACACGATTATTGAAAATTAAAAGAATAGTTCTACTTTGTCTCACTGTTTGTTTATGAGACTGTTGTAAAATACTACTTTCACAACACACTGGTTTGTGATGGAAGACGGGATTAGAATAGTCAGGTGGTTGTTTTTGAGCAGCACTGACTTACTGAGCCAGAGGGCATGTTTATGTGCTGTAGATCTCTATGACTCAATGATTTTTAAAATTTCATTAATAAGTATTTGTAATTGAGGCGCCACCAATTGTTGTCCTCTGTACTTGTGCACAATATTAAAGCAATGATTTAAATTTGAAAAACAAGTACTTTGTTTGACAGTTTATTTCTGTGACCCTATTTCATTAAAATGGTATCATTAATTGGTATCTGTAAATATCTGTAATTATTCTTATAAGAGATATCACTGCTAACGTGCATTGGTGTCAGCAAATTCTTTCAGATACCTGACTGTGAACTGAAAGGATGCAGTCACACATCACACGACACCAGGTTATAGTCCAACAGGTTTATTTGAAATCATAAGCTTTCAGAAAGCAGCGCTCTGAAACCTTGTGTTTTCAAATAATCCTGATTGGGCCATCACCTGGTGTGTAATTTATGACTTTGTCCACCCCAGTCCAACACTGACACCTGCACATCATGAAAGGATGAATGATCTGTTCTGCTCTAGGACAACTGTTGAAAAAAATTCCTCAAAAACAGAAAAAAAATACAAAATACATTTCCTGGGCCTCCAGTTCTCTTTCAGTGTGTTATAACTTTGTAAAAGTGGCACCACCTAAACACTACTTCTTTACTTGTTGATCTCAGGATCAGACCTGCACTTTTCAGAGATGTTGCTAGCTTGTCCATTCAGGTTTTCCAACTGTTTTTTTTAAGAAAAAAATGCTCCTTGTTTTGTATGTGCTATTCCAGCAGAGCTTTCAAGGATGGTCAATGGAAATGAAAGAGACCATTCAGCCCATCATGTCAGTACTGGCTGTCTGAGCATTTTAAGTTAGTGTCACACTCCGGTCTTTCCCCCAAAACCGTGCACATTGTTTTGATCCAATGCCCTTCTAAATGCCTCTCTGGAACCAGAATGTGCGCAATACCCTTACTACTCACTGTGTGAATGTGACTTTTTCTCACCTCACACTTGCTTAATTTGCAAAACGTTTTAAAAGGTGTGCCACCTGATTTTCAAATGATCCTGAGCTCTAGACTTTCAGAAAGTTAATGAACTCCCTCCATCATTGCACCTCTGCACACTTAAGAGAATGCAAAACCCAACTTACCTCGAAGGTCATGCCTTTGATAATGCAGAGCTGTCTCACTAACTCTGCGACTTGCTCTGCACTCGAGGATCCTGTCTTTTTATCTTCTCCACCCTCTCTCTCAAACAGCAGTGTGCTGTGGTGGAATGCCTTCAGTTCCGCTGTTAAGAAATGCAATTGGGATTTACAAGATGCCACGGATTAAACCACAGCCTATGACAGAGTAGCAAAGTCAAGAATTCCATTTCCTTCCACTTGTATAAAAGAAATGGTCTTCTATTTCGATAGCTCCCAACCTCTCAAAGGACTTTACAGCCAACAGTGTAATTATTGTCAAAATGTAGGGACTGCAACGGGCATGCAGCAAGTTCCCAGCAACAACGATGTGATACACCAGATTATCTGATTTTATAATGTTAGAGAAGGAACAAATATTGGACAAAAATAATGACAGAGAGCTTAATTTAGGAAAGTGTGAGGTCATGCACTTTGGTAGGAAGAATCAAAAGCCAACAACATTTCAGAGATAGTAAGGACTGCAGATGCTGGAAGTCAGAGTCAATACAGTGTGGAGCTGGAGGAGCACAGCAGGTCAGACAGCATCACAAGAGCAAAAAAGTCGATGGAACAGGGTTGTGTTGTTGCACCAAGGGCCTTGGTGAGACCACACCTGGAATATTCTGGGCAATTTTGGTCTCCTTTTCTGAGGAAGGATGCTCTTGCTCTTCAGGGAGTGCAATGAAGGCCGATTCCGGGGATGTCGGGTCTGACATATGAGGACAGATTGACTAGGTTGGGATTGTTTTTGCTGGAGTTCAGACGAGTGAGGAGGGGGATCTCATAGAGCCTTATAAAATTCTAACAGGACTGGACAGGGTAGATGCAGGGAGGATGTTCTCGATGGTGGGTGTGTCCAGAAGCAGGGGGACACAGTATGAGGATTTGGGGTAGACGATTTAGGACGGAGATGAGGAGACATTTCTTCACCCAAAGAGTTGTGAGCCTGTGGAATCCATTACCACAGGAAGTAGTTGATGCCAAAACATTGAATTTATTCAAGAGGCAGCTAGATATAGCACTTGGGATGAAAGGTTATGGGGAGAAAGCAGGCTTAGGCTATTGAGTTGGACGATCAGCCATGATCGTGAAGAATGGCGGAACAGGGTCAAAGGGCTGAATGGCCTCCTCCTGCTCCTATCTTCTATGTTTCTATGTATATTGAGAGTCTGGACCCTACATGAAGGAATCTGAATGTCTTTATATATGAAACACAAACAGTTAGCAGGCAGGTACAGCAAGTACTTAAGACGACAAATTGAATTTGGCCTTTATTGCTAAGGGGTTGTGGTTTAAAAATAGCGAAGTCTTGTCGCAACTGTACAGAATGCTAGTGAGGCTGCACCTGGAATATTGCGTACAGTTTTAGTCCCTTTTTTTAAGAAAGGATATACTAGCATTGGAGGCAGTTCAAATAGGATTTCTAAGGCTTTAGAGCAGATTTGTAGCTCGGGTTGTGGGTGTTGTGGTTGGTTGGCTCGCCGAGCTGGTTTGTTGTTTCGCAGACGTTTCATTACCGTGCTGGGTAACATCATCAGTGCAGCCTCCGATGAAGCGCCGTTGTGTCTTCCCACTTGTTATTTAAACTCTGGAGTCCGTTGGGCTGGATTACCTCACTTCTGGTTTTCATTCGCAGATATAGGATCTAGCTCTGTGTGTTTGTTGATGGCCTCCTTAGTGGAGAACCAAGCCTCTAGGAATTCCTGTGCTTGTCTCTGCTTCGCCTGTCCCATGATCCTGGTGTAAGGAAAACCACTAGTTCGATTGAGACAACACCAAGATCCTGGGACAGGCCAAGCAGAGACAAGTGCGGGAATTCCTAGAAGCCTGGTTCTCCACTAAGGAGGCCATCAACAAACACATGGAGCTAGATCCTATATACACACCACTGAGAATGAAAACCGGAAGGAGGTAATCCAGCTCAACGGACACCAGAGTTTAAATACCAAGTGGGAAAACACAACAGCGCTTTATTGGAGGCTGCACTGATGATGTTACCCAGTAGGGTAATGAAACGTCTACGGAACAATGAACCAGCTTGGCGAGCCAACCAACCATAACAAATAGGAATCAGCCTAGAGAAATCCTAAGATTAAGGGGTTGATTTATAAAGAATGGCTAAGCAGGTTGGACGTTTACTTTAGAAGACTGAAGGGTGATGTTACTGAAACATAGAAGATTCTGAGGGGCCTTGTCAAAGTAGATATTGATAAGATGTGCTCAGTATAATTGCTCAGCCTCCTCCCCTTGGATGCAGGAAAGTTCTCCATACAGGAAGAGCAGTGCTTACTCACTACAACGAAGACTCCCCTGCCTACTGCACGTCACCTTTAACCCGAAGGGTCACCTTTAACCCGAAGGCACATCTCTCTCATTTGCTGACAGCTTGTTCACAAATGTGCAACTTAATGTGCCAAAGTGCGCAGGAGACGTGAAACCATTCAAAATCGGTTCTCTCTGCTTGCCTTGAATTCACCATTAACTAATTTCCTGCCATTAGGAAGCTGCCATCAGCCCAATTAAGTGTCTTGCCCACATTTCTGCCCACTTCTCATGTTTCCACCCAGCGTCTCATTGTCCCAGAAGTCATTTCGGAAGGACGTAACCTGCAATGTAACCTATATGCCTTTAAGTGTTTTTGACCTGTACGTCCTCTGCCTGCTGTGATCTGCCTATACTGCACATAAACAAAGTTTTTCACTGTATTTCAATACATGTTGTGAAACTTGAAAGGGTTTGGAAAAGATTTACAAGGATGTTGGAGGGTTTGAACTATAGGCAGAGACTGAATAGGCTGGGGCTATTTTCCCTGGAGTGTCGTAGGCTAAGGAGTGACCTTATAGAAGTTTATAGAATCATGGGGGCCATGGATAAGGTGAATAGCCAACGTCTTTTCCCCAGGGTAGGGGAGTTCTTTTTTCTTTATTCATTCACAGGATGAGGACGTCACTGGTTAGGCAGCATTTATTGCCCATCTCTAATTGCCCAGAGGGCAGTTCAGAGTCAACCACATTGCTGTGGGTCTAGAGTCGGACCAGGTAAGGATGGCAGTTTTCTTCCCTGAAAGACATTAGTGAACCAGATGGATTTTTCCAAAAATCAACAATGGATTCATGGTCATCATTAGACTCTTAATTCCATATATTTATTGAATTCAAATTCTACCATCTGCCATGGTGGGATTCGAACCCGGGTCCCCAGAATGTTATCTGGGTCTCTGGATTAACAGTCCAGCTATAATATCACTAGGCCATCACCTCCCCCAATCCAAAACTAGAAGGCATAGGTTTAAGGTGAGAGGGTGTAGCATGTATAGAATGAGCTGCCAGAGGATGTGGTGGAGGCTGGTACGATTTTACAACATTTAAATGGGTACATGAATAGGAAGGGTTTAGAGGGATATGGGCCAAATGGGACCAACTTAAATTTAGGATGTCTGGTTGACATGGATGAGTTGCACCGAAGGGTCTGTTTCCATGCTGTATGTCTCTGTGACTCTATGATTCTAGAGATTCTCTATGCATCACCAGTGGACAGACACAATGTTTAGAACAATCTATTCCCTTTGTATAATGACTACTCACTGCACTTGCTGAATTATTCCTGTCAACAAATTTTTTTGCCTTCAATAATACCATGTGGTTTTCTATATTTAGTATTGTACAATGTGGGTAGAAGACATTTAATAACAAGAGATAATTAACTAGCTTCAAAATCTCCCCACCCCCCGGCCTCATCTCATGACCAATCCTCCCTCTCATCTCCGCCTCTTTGACCTGTCCGTCTTCTCTCCCACCTCACTGACCAATCCCCACCTCTGCCTACCTGCACACACCTATCACCTTCCCACCTAACTTCCCCAGCTCCACCCCTCCTCTCTCTATTTATTTCAGAGCTCCCTTCCCCCTCCCCCATTTCTGAAGAAAGGTCCTGACCTGAAACATCAGCTTTCCCACTCTTCTGATGCTGCCTGGCCTGCTGTGTTCCTCCAGTGTGTTATCTCTGACTTCAGCATTAACCATTTGTTAAGATTGTTTGAATCCCTGTAAAATTGCCCTAGTGATCCCTGGACCCCAGTCAAAGATAGTTCTGATGAAGAGTCACACTGGACTTGAAATGTTAACTCAGTTTGTCTCTCCACAGATGCTGCCAGACATGCTGAGTTTTTCTAGCAATTTCTATTTTTGTTCTTGAACATAATTGACAGGACCATTTGAAGAATCAAGAGGTAATATGAGTCAGACCACATGCTTTTTAAAAGTCAGATCAAACTTCTGATTAGAGATTTGAAAACAGAAATTGCTGGAGAAACCCTACAGGTCTGGCAGCATCTGGGGGGAGAGAGAAACAGAGTTAACATTTCGGGTCCAAAATGACGTTTCTTCAGCCAGTGTTAAGATTGGAGAAATCTTTTGGAAAATAAGCAGAGGACAGATTGAGAAAATGTAGTGGATATGATTTATAAAGATTTCAAAACATATTTGATTAAGTGCAAAGTTAGGCATTTATGATAAAGATAAGAATTCTACTAAGTAGAACTGCACTGACTAAAAAAGCAAATTGTTAGGATTCAAGAACATTTTGCAAGCTGGAGGCTGTGCAGAGGTGTTCCACAAGTGTCTGTATCATCTAGATTTAGGAATAAAAAGGGCATCTTCCAAAGAATCCTATAACTCCTAATTTAGAAACAGAAAATAGGAACAAGAGTAGGCCATTCGACTTATCAAGTCTGCACCACCATTCAAAAGAATTACAGCTTACCATCCAACTCAGTACCCTCCTCACACTTTCTTCCCATACCCTTTGATCTCTTTAGCCTTAAGAACTATTTCTAACTCCTTCTTGAAAATATTCAATGTTTAACCTCAACCAGTTTCTGCTGCAGAGAATTCCCCAGCGTCATTACTCTCTGGGTGAAGAAATTTCTCCTCATCTCAGTCCTAAAGGGTCTATCACACATCCTTAGACTGTGAACCCTGGTTTGGGATTCCTTGGTCATTAGGAACATCCTTTCTGCATTTACCCTATTGCGTCCTTTTAGAATTTTATTGGTTTCTATGAGATACCCCACTCATTCTTTGAAAGTCCAGTGAACACAGTCCTAATTAATCCGGTGTCTCTTCATACATCAGCACGGGAATTAGTCTGGTAAACCTTCGTTGCACTCCTTCTTTAGCCAGAACATCCTTCCTTAGATAAGGGGACCAGTGCTGTACACAATATTCCAGGTGTGGTCCCACCAAGGCCCTGTACTACTGCAGCAAGACATCCCTACTCCTGTTCTCAAATCCTCATGCTATGAAGGCCAACATACCATTTGCCTCTTTCACCGCCTACTGCACTTACCTTTAGTAGACCAAGTCTCATCGCACCTCTCCCTTTCCCAACTTATCAATGTTTAGATAATGATCTGCCTTGTTGTTTTTGCAACAAAAGTGAACAACCTCATATTTATTCACATTATACTTCATCTGCCATGCACATGCCCAGTCACAACTTGTCCAAATCACACTGAACAATAATGATTTTGCCCCTCAACTGTACAGTGAAATGCCCATTTTAATGCTGGAAACAATGGACAAGACGATCTAAGAATTGATTTAAGGCAGAAATTTTAAGTTGAGCTCTGCTCTTAATTCCAGCAAGGAACATGTACATTTAGTTTATTCATGCTAGTAAACGCTGACAAGAGCTCACTGGCACAGACAAAGCTTAGTGGCCTACACGCTGTTTGCCAGCACATTTCGCAGCCATTCAGAGAGTCCATGCCAACATGGTTAATGCTGGTTTTGATTACAAATCATTGCAGAATTCAGGTTTGCGTTCGGTATTTCTGACTCACCTCTGGGCGTGAATACCACTTCCTCCATCTTTAAAAATTTCAGTGTGGTGAGAATTTCTGTCTTTGCCCCTTTTCCTTCTTTGGAGAAAGGCTGAAAGACATTTGACTCATTGCAAATGGTCATTTCTATGGTGCCATCATTATAGCTCTGTACACATTCCAGCTGTGAATCCAGGATCTGTTGGTGGGACTAAATGAGAACAATGAAACGTCAGAGAGGCTTAATCACCACCATTTCTTTCAGGCAGAGATATGCTTGTTTTTACAATCATCATTTTGTCTTTCACACGAAATACGTAGAATCCCTACAGTGTGGAAGCAGGCCATTTGGCCCATCGAGTCCACACCAACCCTTCGAAGGGCATCCCACCCAGACCTAGCCCCTTACCCTATCCCTGCGTTTTCCATGACTAATCCACCTTATCTGCACATCCCTGAACACTATGGTCAATTTAGCATGGCCAATCCACCTAGCCTGCACATTTTTGGACCGTGGGAGGAAACTGGAGCACCCAGAAGAAACCCACGCAGACACGGGGAGAACGTGCAAACTGCACAAAGTCGCCCAAGGGTGGAATCGAACCTTAGTCCCTGGCACTGAGAGGCAGCAGTGCTAACCACTGAGCCACCATGCTGCCCCAAGCTGATTTAAGTACACATTCTCAATGAGAGGAGTGCAAAGGGTCAGAGAGGCAGCCAAAACCATGCTGTCCATATCAACACCCTGACCAATGAGGTTTCAGGTGAATCAGCTGACTGAGATTGACAGTAAATAGATCCAACTTTATCTCCATGCCAACCATGGTCCCGCCAGTCAGTACTCTCTCCTCATGCTGTATAAATCACAGTTCCCTTCCAAATTTTAGATTCTTGTATGATAAATCGAAGATAAGATGATTCAACCTTATGCCCCTTTCTAGCAATGTTTGAGTTCTATACTACCAAGCAATTATTTGATTTAAAATACCCGCAATAATGTTTGCAAACGTCTTGGTCTCTTGATAATGAAAAACTCACTCTTTAATTGATTTTTTTTTAGAACAATTATTTGGTTACAGTTCATCTCAGAATTCTCATTAGAACTATTCAGAAGTTAACTAATCAATATATTGATCTATTAACTGATACAGAATGACAATGAAATAGGTAAAATATAATGTTTTTATTTTGAAGATGATAGAGAAAGGCTATTTGAACTCTAATGGATGTTATTAATGGTTTTGCTTACTGCAGAATCGGGTAGACGTACTGACTGCAATGAAGTGACAGCTGTAGCACGTAAGGAACAACGGTTCAGGTCTTTAGACTTTGTAAGGAGGGAACCTTGCATCTTATATGTAGACAAACACTTTCCTGAAATATCCACCTGTAGAAAAAGTATTAAAAACAAAGAGCTATAAATATAGAATGGTATATATCATAGTAGTTAGAGCTGACTGAGTTGTTCCAAAATGCACTTAAAATAATTTCACTAGAACATTCTGATATGTCTTATACTGTTCACATTATTTTGCAGAGAATTTAAGTGAATTTCAAGTTGTTCTTTCAAACTCTTCTCTGTACCTTTCCACCTCTTGAAATCTCATTGCACCCTGTTGTAGTCCTTACTCCATTAATTTTTCCCTTCTTGGCTCATTTTAATAGAATCATAGAATCCCTACAGTGTGGAAGCAGGCTATTTGGCCCATTGCATCTACAGTGACATTCCAAAGAGCATCCCACCCAGTCCTACACTGCTACCCTACCCCTGTAATTTCCATGGCTAACCCACCTAGCCTGCACACCCCTGGACACTAAGGGCAATTTAGTACGGCCAATCCACCTAACCTGCACATCTTTGGACATTATTTGTTTTCCTTGTGCCTAAACATGAAGCCACAGTGAAGATATTTATGTGTATCAAGGCACTGGGTAAATCTCTGACATTGTAGTAGTTGCTGGATCAGAGACAGCACTAGGAACACACCGAAAAGCTGCTTATTTCAGTCAGACAACATTCATGAATTTCCTATTCTAAATCTACACATGAAAACTGCACAAGGGCCAGCTCACAGTCCACATGGCCCCTTAAACGTGCAATTAGATTTATGGAGGGTTACCAGTATGACATTTTCAAATGTAGCTGATTGTGTCGACAACAAGTTGTTGATAAACTTCATGTAACAGCAGAGTGTTTTCATGTCTTTCGAAGTCTCCCATTGCAAACATAATGAGTTAAAAGCTGAACACATATCTGTGAGACTCTGTCATGCTTCACACCAGTAAACCTAAAGGAAACAACTGAGGCCATTATGCTCTGATGACCTCACATAGTGTGAGGGAGGCTGTAACCTGGTTTCTTCCTGGGTTCAATGCTAAGTTTTGCTCAACAGTCACCACTGACTCTGAAGGAGCTCTTTCGGAGAGCCTCTAGTACAGTTTTAATTCATTTCCTGAAAATTTGCTCAGATATCTATGAACTTCTTTCATATGTTACCTAGCTTATAATGTGGGATTTTTCATCCTATAAATGTGGTAATTTGTTACTCAACGAAAATATATGTACCTCAACGTGAAGAGAAATGCAACATAATGCAGTCCACAGGAATGCTTGTCAAATGAAAACATAAATTTGTGCCAGTGACAGCAAAGTTGGTTAACCATCAGACTGCATTTTCTGAATAACTCTCAGACTTGGGAGCAAAGAAGCCTTGTCACTATTTTTTTTTTAAAAAACCTCGAATAGCACAATTCTGCAACCAGGAGCTTGACCCAAATGAATCAATTATATATTAGCAATAGTAATGATGGAGCTGAGTATCACCCTCAAGTCATATCAAAAGATCAGAAATGTGGGAAGGCAATAGCGTAGTGGGAATGTCAGTAGGCAAGTAATTCAGAGCCCCCGGCTAACGTTCTTAAAACAGGGATTTGAATCCCACCATGGCAGATGGTGAAATTTGAATTCAACAAAAATCTGGAATTACAAAGCAAGCTTAATGGAGATTGTCGATTGTCATTAAGAACGTAATGTCCTTTAGGGAAGGTAATCTGCCAATCTTACCTGGTTGGGCCTACATGTGACTCCAGACCACAATAATGTTGTTGCCTCTTAATTGCTGTCTGGGCAATAAATGCTGGCATTGCCAGTGACACCCACATCCCAATAATATTCTTTTTTAAAAGATCATAATTTAAGAATAAAAAGCTACAATTCCATAGTACCATCCATTTCCTTAAGGCATCCTAAAAATGCTTCACAGCCAATGAAGTTCTTATAAAATAGTCATCACTGTTATGATGCAGAAGTTACCACAGCACAAACATCAATGTGACCACGTAATCTGTTTAAGTGAAGGTATTAGACAGAATTCTCTTTCATTCACAGGAGGTACAGTTACAACATTTAAAAGACATTTAGATAAGTATATGAATAGGAAAGGTTTGGAAGGATATGGATGAAATGCAGGCAAATGAGGCTAGTTTAGTTTGGGAACATGGTCAGCGTGGACGAGTTGGACTGAAGAGTCTGTTTCCATGCTGTATGACTCTACGGGAACATCATTGGCTAGGCCAGTATTTATTTCCCATCCCTAATTACCCAGAAGGCAGTTAAGAGTCAACAACATTGCAGTGGGACTGGAATCACATGTAGGCCAGACAAGGCAAGAACAGCAGCTTCCTTCCTTAAAGGACATTAGTGAACCAGATGGGTTTAGCCAACAATTGACAATGATTTTATGGTCATTATTAATCTTAATTCCAGATTGTTAAATCGAATTCAAATTCCACAATTGCCTGGATGGGGTTTGAACATCTAACTCTAGGACATTTCATATTTGCCTGGCCACCCTGCCCCCAAATAGTCATCTTCAAAATAGCACAATGGGATTTTTTTGTATCCACCTGAGAAGGCAAAAAGGAGCTTAGTTTCTCATCTTATCCAAAAGCCAGCACTTCTGACAGTGCAGCCCTCCCTCAGTACTATAATTGTCAGCTTGGATATTTGTAGCCCTTGAAACCACCTTCTGTCTCAGAGGTCAAACTTGTCACGATAGCCCATTAAACAACAATAAGAGTACTGGACGCTTAATCAATTGATTAGTTAAAGGATTTGATTGTAAGAGTGTTGTGGAATTGCCTGAGGCATCACAATATTTTCTCCTTCCACCTAGAATAGATGCACCTTTTCCATCACTCCAGTGAAATTTCATGTGGATACCAGTCTCTATTTCAACGATGACCCCTAACATTAATACAAAGGATTTTTGTAAGTGTCTTACCTCCTCAACAGTCCGCTGTTTATTTACTGCATAAGAATCCTGGAGAACACTGAGAATGCCTCGCTTAAAGTTCAGGGCCCAACTTTCTTCACTGTCTGAAGGACAGATCTCAGGGATTAAGCCATCTTGGAATGAATACTGAAGTGGGTGTTTCTCCAAGGAAGCTCTGTAACAAACAACTAGTCAGAATACAGTCACATATGGACCTGCTTACATTAATTTAGGATCACCATCCTATATCCAATTCCTCAGAACACTGCAGACTGCAACCATTACAGGTATTTCAGACTATGCATCCATTTTTGACAAGTTACTTACTTTCTCGAGTGGCAGGACTGGGTTACTTGCATTTAGCCCATGATGACATTGGTTAGCCCTGAGTAAACCTTGGAAAAATCTATATTGACATGAGAACTTTAAAAGGTAGAACAAAGAGATTAACATCTACGGAGGTAGGGATGGGTAAAGGATACTTCTCAATTTCAGGACAAATCCAACCAGCCAGTTCCTGCCCCATCAGTCTACACTCAAACATCAGTAAAGTGATGGAAGGTGTCATCAACAGTGCTATCAAGCAACACCCACTCAGCAATAACCTGTTCAGTGACGCCCAGTTTGGGTTCTGCCAGGGCCACTCAGCTCCCGACCTCATTACAGCCTTGGTTCAAACATGGACAAAAGAGCTGAATTCTAGCGGGGAGAGTGACTGTCTTGTCCAATGATTGCACAATGTTCAGCACCATTCACAACTCCTCACCTACTGAAGCAGTCCATGTTCAAATGCAGAAGACCTGGTCAATATCCAGGTTTGGGCTGAAAAGTGGCAAATAACTTTCATGCCACAGAAGTATCAAGCAATGACCATCTCCAACAAGACAGGATCTAACCATCATCATTTGCCATTCAAATGCATCAGTATCACTAAAGACCTCATTATCAACACCCTGGGTATAATCATTGACCAAAAACTGGCCTAGACTCGCCATTGGTGGTTAGCACCGCTGCCTCACAGCACCAGGGACCCGGATTTGATCCTACCCTCGGGCGACTGTCTGTATGGAGTTTGCACATTGTCCCCTTGTCTACGTGGGTTTCCTCTGGGTGCTCCAGTTTCCTCACACAGTCCAAATTAGGTGCAGATTAGGTGGATTGGCCGTGCTAAATTACCTATAGTGTCTAGGGTGGGAAATGCAGGGATAGCATAAGGGGCGGGTCTGGGTGTGTTGCTCGTTGGAGGGTCACAGTGGACTCGATGGGCCGAATGGCCTGTTTCCACACTGTAGGGATTAAAGAAAATTTAAACACAGTGGTCACAAGAGCAGGTCAAAGGACAGAAGTCCTGCAGCAAGTAATTCACATCCTGATTCCATATACACTGTCCACCATCTCCTAGGCACAAGTCAGGAATGTGATGGAATACTCCCCACTTGCCTGGATGAGTGCAGCTCCAACAACACTCAAGAAGCAGCCAGCTTGATTGGTACCACATCCACGGTCGGTGCACATAACACATTGTAAGTGGGGCTTCTTGTTTTTGATTTCTATGGTAATGTAATATGTTTATAGGAAATTGCCCAGTACAGACAGTTGTCCTGGGCAATACAGTGGTGGGGATTGTACTGCAGACTAGGCAAGGTATTTTGGGACTGTTCACTCATGTTGGAAGATAGTGGCAGTCACGTAATCTGTTGCAATGGTTGTCGTAAGATGTTTTGAACATCCAGTTCCATTAATGAGCCTTAGTGCACAAGACTGTCACTCTATGAATGCCACAGACTGCAAGATGCTGAGGCAAAAGAATCTTAGTTCCTGTTATTGCAAAACTTAAAAAGAAAACATCAATAATGTTTAGCAGAGAGCATAAACTCTTATTTATATTCTGCTGTGCTCTCAAACTAAGCACAATTTAGTGGCCTTCAAAGCATCTATGTAGAGAATACTGTCAACGGCTAGGCCAGTTCACATATTCTCCACTTGCTTAATAGGGAAGGCACTAAATCTGCAACATGCCACCAGTTGAAACACCTTCACCCAGTGAGCTAATGTATGGAATGCTTCATCACTGAAACTCGTTGAGGCAGACTGGTGTATCAGCCAAAGAAACAGCTCATGGAAACAGCTTTCTCTTGTCGACCTTATCTAAACTCTTCATAATCATGGATGCTCTTTTTCCCCTAAATCCTCTGCTACAGCTTCTGGAATATTGTAGTTACAGTCTCTCATCGCTGGAACTATTCTGGGAAATCTCTTCTGCACCCTCCCATCCTTCCTAAAGGGTGGTGACCAGAAATGGATACAATATTCTAATTGGAACCACATCCGAGATTCACAAAAGGTAAATAATACCTTTTATAATCCATAATTCAGTCACTAACTAACTTGAAAACATATTCCATTTGCAATGAGGTTTGAGGAGTTCTCAATAGATTTTACACACATTTTCAAAAAAAAAGTTAGGTTATGTGTATCATTTTAGTTGGAGTTTGGAGGATTTTGATTTGATTTGATTTATTTTTGTCACATGTACCTAGGTACAGTGAAAAGTTTAGCTTTGTGTGCAGTTCAGACATCTCAAAATATACAAAGTGCATTAGGCTAATCGAACAGAGCGAAGAATACAATGTTATGACTGCAGAGAAAGTGCACAAAGAGCGAGATCAACATTAAATTTAAAATATGAGAGGAATTATGGTTGGCATGGACTGGTTGGACTGAAGGGTCTGTTTCCATGCTGTATGGCTCTATGATTTGATTCAGAAGTATAACAACAGTGGAGAAGAAGCTGTTCTTGAATCTGTTGGTACACGTGTTGCTGGTAGCAAGTTTCCAACAAGAGTCAGATCATGAGCATAGGACTTAGTAGATTCTGTGCACCAGGTGGTGGAAAAAGTCAACCTGAAAGTGATTTTATCTATCCCTCCAGTTCTCTTGAAGTCAGTTACACAGAAACATTGGAACTGTGACTTTAGCCAAAAGAGAGAGACAAAGCTGGGAGGGAAAGCAGAGAAACCAAGTGAACTAAGGAAGGGTCTGAGGAAGGGTCACCGGACCCAAAACGTTAACTCTGTTTTCTCCTCCACAGATGCTGCCAGACCTGCTGAGCTTTTCCAGCAACTTTGTTTTTGAACTAAAAAGGTTAGTGCTTGAAACAAATAAAAGGGTGAAGTTGAATGTCAGTTTCAAATACTATTGTATAAATACTGAGAGCACCAATGAATGTCATATCAGTCACAGTCATGGAACTAGTTAGTAAGCTGATACTGTGAAATAGGCACTAATCAGACCAAGGTTACATCAACGAGGATGGAAGCAGGAAGCTGCCGTTATAGGGGTTTATTTTTAATGTATTCTTTCATTGGTTGTGGGTATCTGCTATCTCTACCCGTTTGTTATATCTGAATGGACTTGCCAGGCCAATTTAGTTAAGAGACAAACACACCGTTGTGATTCTAGAGTAATAAGCAAGCAGTGATAGACAGAGCTGAACAATTCCATAATCAAAGGATCAGGTCAAATCTCTGCAGTCCTGCCGCATCCAGCCGTGAATGGTGGTGGACAATTAAACAACTCACTGGAGGAGGGGGCTCCACAAATATCCCCATCCTCAATGATAGAAGAGCCCAGCACATCAGTGCAAAAGATAAGGCAGAAGCACTTAACAAGTCAGGCATGTCGACTGGATGATCCAGCTTGGCCAGCATCACAGATGTCACTCATCAGTCAATTTGATTCACTCTGTGTGATTCCAAGAAAAGGTACTGAAAACTTGTGCTCCAGAATTTGCTGTCCCCAAAACCAACCTGCTCCTGTGTAGCTCCAACATAGCATCTAGTTGACAATGCGGGTAGTATTGTGCCCTGGCGTGCCCTGCATGCAAACAGCAGGACAAATTCAACCTGACCAATTACTGTTCCATTACTTACTCTCGATCATCAGTAAAGTGATGGAAGGTGTCATCAACAGTGTTATCAAGCAGCACCTGCTCAGCAATAACCTGCTCAGTGTCACCCAGTTTGGGTTCCACAAGGGCCACTCAGCTCCTGACCTCAATACAGCCTTGGTTCAAACGTGGGCAAAAGAGCTGAATTCCAGATGTGAGGTGAGAGTGACAGCCTTTGACATCATGGCTGCATTTGACTCAATGTTACATCAAGGAGCCCTAGAAAACTAGAATCAATGGGAAATAGGGGGAAACTCTACACTGGTTAGAGTCTTACCAAGCACACAGGAAGATGGTTGTGGTTGTTGAAGATCAGTCACCTCAGCTCCAGGGCATCTCTGCAGGAGTTCCTCAGGGTAGTGTCCTAGGCCCAATCATCCTCAACTGCTTCATCAATGACCTTCCCTCCATAAGGTCAGAAGTGGGGATGTTTGCCGATGATTGCACAATATTCAGCACCATTCACACCTCCTCAGATACTGAAGCAGTCCATGCTCAAATGTAACAAGCTTTGGATAATATCCAGACCTGGGCTGAAAAGTGGCAAGTAACATTCACGCCACACAAATACCAGTTAATGGCAATAAGTGAGTGAGTATCTAACCATTGGTCCTTGACATTCAATGGCATTACCATCACTGAATCCCCAACTATTAACATCCTGAGAGATGGCCATTGGCAATTGGCCAAAAACTAAGTGGATTCACTACATAAATAGAGTGGCTACAAAAACAGATCTGAGGCTAGGAGTCCTTCAGTGAGTAACTCACCTTCTGAGTCCTCAAAGCCTGTCCACCATCTGCAAGACACATGTCAAGCTGATGATGTAATACTGCCTATTCGCCTGGATCGGTGCAGCTCCAACAACACTCAAGAAGTTCAATACCAACCAGGAAAAAGCAGACTGCTTGATTGGCACTACATCAGCAAACAGCCATTAACTCTGCCACCAATACTCAATAGCAGCAGTGTGCACTACCGACAAAATGCACTGCAAAATTTTAAGGTTCCTAATTCCAAACCCACAACCACTTCCAACCATAAGAACAAGGCCAGCAGATACATGGGACACCATCCCCTCCAAGTCTCTCGTCATCCTGACTCGGAAATATATCACTGTTCCTTCGGTGTCACTGGATCAAAATCCTGGAATTCCGTCGTTAACAGCATTTTGGGTCTACCTATCCCTAATGGACTGCAGGGGTTCACAAAGGCAGTTCACCAGC